ACTCCGCAATATCGCGCCGCACTTCACAGTAACCTTAAAGAGTCGTTGAGGCCTTGTCGGGGACTCCGCCTATAAATAAGACCATTCTACTTCATTTCAAGGTATGCAATTAACCCGATTCTCTCTCGAGTTGACTTGGACAACTACTTACTTCAGCATCGAAGTTTCTACTTTATTTTACAAGTCTTCTGCACGGCATCTGGAACTCTCTGTCCAGCTCATCCGAACCGATCTAAAGCTGGTCATTTTCTTGATCAAACAACCTCTATAACAATTGAAAGTTCAAAAATCTGAATAGAGTTAGGTGCTACTATTTATTATACTTTGCTTAGAGATGTTGATAAATGCAGGTAAAGTCATGAACCGTTTCAATATGTATAGACCTCTTAAGTTTTCCTTGTCCATTGACAATAATATTGGAATACTCAAAAGATTCGAGTGAGAAATCTCTCTATTTACTCATCTAAGTCTATAAATCATCATCTAAGTAGTCCAATTTGAACATGGTTCAAATTGATAAGATATTTATTACTATTTCAACTATTTATTATTCAATATCTCACCTTGTAGTGATTAATTTTCTAAGTCCACATATAACCTCGAGTCCAAAAAAGAGGGAAATGACTATGACCACGATCAAATGACATATCGTAGGAGTATATATATCTTTCTCATTCGTGTTATATATTTTTCGGACTGATAATAGACTCATGGGAAGTTTATAGATTCTTTTCCAATTTTTGCATTTTTCTTATTTTTCTAAAGTTTTCATTTGCTTTAGAATTTAGTTGCATTTTAATTTTTGTTAATTTATGTTACTTAAAGGTTTTTATATATGTTCTTTATTTTTTAATTTTTCAAGAAAGAGATTGGACCATGAGTTTTTCAAGTCATAGAAATAAAAGTGATTAATGTTGGGTATATTTGCTTTCTTCACTTAATTGCTACTTGGCTTTTATTTCCAATTTTTTTACAAACTTTTATAAGCATTCAGTCTTTTCCCTCTACATTTTTTTTATAAGATTCCCTCTACACATTTAAATAAACATAATTATGAATTAAAATATCTTACTTAAGTCTTGATAAAAAAAATTAATAAAAAAAAAAAGAAAAAGAGGAACTTGAGTGGTAGCTACATAATTACTTAAAGTTGTTTTTAAATATAATCATGGCATTGATAAATTTAGGAGATTTTTAGGGGGGAGAAGATGGACATAATAACAAAAATATGATTTTATTGTATTACTTTTTCTTAATCTCGATACAAACTTACCGTCTTATTTATGATAGACAATTCTTAATTAAGACATCTGGGAGCATACAAGTAATAAATGTCTCACTTACAAAGAAGAAAATCAAATCACTTACAAGCCATAATATGATCACGACGACAATCCTGAACTCGTTTTTCTTCCACGAGAGACCACAAACTCGTTTTCCTGGCACGAGAGGCCACGAACTCAATTTTCTGGTATGAGAGACCACAAACTCGATTTTTAGCAGGGAGAGACCCCAAAATTTCGAGGGAGAAATCCTCTATCAATCATTTCAAGCAATAGCTTTCCAAAAACCACTAAATCATTAGATCTTTTTTTCCTCATAAACATTGCCCTAATCAAAGCTTTATACGTATCGGTAAACAATCCCACCAGTGCGTCTTCTCAAACACATTCAACCCATTTTCTACCTCACCAACATCACAAAAATACCTAATGAAATTTGAAGAAAAAAAAGTCTCAAATATTTTAATAAAACCTACATTTTTTTATGTTCTAAGGAAAAACAAATTTAAAAAATGTTTAAATGGCAAGTTATGCCAATCAAACCATTTTTATTAAAAACCGAATGTTAAAAGTGATCTCCTTGTTTCAAAATATATAAAATAATAAAAGATGATCTCCTACAAATTTAGTGTGGAAGGTGCTCTTGAGTAATTAATGTCCAATAAATGTATGAAAGCGCTACTCTTCAATAAATTAATAATAACAATAATAATAATAAATAAATAATATATAGGATACTTTTTTTCTTTTTTGCAATTAATTTTGTTGTTTTTAGTTTTGATAGTACTACTTGAGATATGCTTGAATGGGCTATTTAGGTCAAATCCCTTTTAAAAGGGACACTTTTGGTTATTGAGTTTTGAGAAATGATTTTAAACCATTCTTGAACTCTTTTGACCATTAATTGATTGACGTGTGCGTGATAATTAAGTTGCTAATTTGGTAAAATATATTAATTTAATAATATCTTTGTGGTTGTAGTACTTTCTCTCTCTTTCCTTCTTTTCTTCATCTCTCGTTCTCACCCTCACCAAGGTAGGCTTGTTCCTTGTCGGACTTAGAACAAGGAGCACTTTCCTCATTCCATATTTGATAGGGAAAACCCAAGTTTTGAATGTTCCTCATCGGATCTCTCCTCACTGATCGCCTGTTGTTGCTGCCACTCCACTACCCTCACCCTCATAGAGAAACCCTCATCCAAATCTAGAATGAGGAATGTTACTCGTTCAAAATTTGGAAGATCCCCATTGGGCTGAGGAATGTTACTGGTCCCTAACGACATGGTAGCGACAACAATAGCAACACAACGACAACAGCAATAGCAGGTGAGGAGAGAAGCAGCTAGCGACTATGGTAATGTTTGTCGATGAAAGGGGAAGCGGATAAGGAGAGAGTACTCTATCACTACGAAAATATTATTAAATTAATATATTTTGTCAAATCAACAAACGGTCCAAAGAGTTCAGGAACCATTTCTCAAACCCCATGGACCGAAAGTGCCCCTTTTCTTATTTTTCAAGATCAAACATACACCTTACCTCGGAACCCAGGAGTATATTTTGCCCTATTAGTGATGTATTGCACTACTAATTCAATATGAGTGAAAGGAAAGTTGATGATAGCTGCATTTCTAGAGTTGATTAAATGTTGAGTCTTTTATTTGCTTAAAAATAATTTGACATAAAAGGGCAGTGAAGTATAAAAGATTGGACTTACACACCATTAAACTTCAAATGAAGTGAGAATTACTTTGATAGTTTTATTCCTTCCATTGTGTCTAAGTTGTAGGAGATATGCAAGGGAATGTCAAGGCTAATAAAGGTGCCAAATCCATATTCCAAATTCTAGTCTAGAAGGCCTAGGGCATTACATTCTCTACCATGTGTCAAGTGAGAGTCATTGCATCATGAGAAAATTTTGAGGGCTCAAAGTTTACTGTCTCAACAGAAATTAGACGATCTCCTCTAAATGCATTTCTACAACTCCTAAAATATAGAGCAACAGATAGAGATAATTTGAGGACTCCTATAGGGTTAACTTCAAGATTAGCAAGTTGTAGATTTTTTCTCGCCCTTTCAAAAGTTTCCTAGCACAGAGAATTTATTGGAGACTATTATAATGTGGCAGACAGTAATAGATTTATGAGAGAAAAACTAAGTTTATACCGGGTGGTTATTAAGAGACTTGAAAATTTTTAAATCTGAATGCAACGATTTATTCAGGAGCAACAACCACTTTTCCCTAGCACGACTAATGATGACAAGAGGTGGGTTGGAAGGAGTAGGCATAAGAGGCTTAAAGAGTTTGGGGTACAAGGCCTCCATTAACCTTTTGGGGAAGTTGAGCCAGCAAAAGGCCCACTAGGTTGGAGAAAGAACTCATGGGAACACCTTGGCAACCTACAAGAAGCTTCCCTTTTGAGGACGAAATATCATAACGTTTGAGGCTAAAGTGATCTAAACCATGGTTGTATTTATTACCTTCATCGAGTTTGATGCCAACTTCTACGAGAATAAAGCCACACAACTTTAGTTGAAACTTCCAAATATATCATATATATCAGACAATCCGAACATAGTTCAATCGATAAAACACCTATTACCATCCAAAAGATCATTGATGGTCTGAATTCTCTGTCATGCAATTGTTGGACGCAAAAACAAAAAACATCCATAAATATATTAATTGTTTTAACGAAGATAAGACTCTTAAGATTACTAACCTTCAAAGAACTTATCAATTAAGAGACACGAACAAAGTCTAAATAGGTGTCTACCAACAAAATCAACAGAAACTTATCAAGAGCAATAATGTAGATAGCATCTCCTCTAGACGAATCTTCCTTCTCTCGCTTTTCTCGTCAAGAGATCGAGAATAAACACTCCGCCCCATTTTTAGCGACAAGGTTAATTGCAAGGTACAGTACTAGAAAGCTTACTCTTTTGATCTCACCTTTCACCACATTGTACCAATTGAAGAGGAAGACAATGTAGCCTTTCATGTGCTCCCTACAACACAAGCTAAACAAAATAGAGAAGCTTAGTACAGAAAACAAATGGTGAAGTACTTTGTCCAAAAGATAAAAATTTTAAGAGTTGGACCACAATTCTCTCATTGTTCAAACCCTTTGCCCAAAAGATAAAACAAAAAAACAAAAAAGTTGAAAAGTAGTTTATGCAATATTCCTCTTAACCTGATACAACTCCAGCTGCTGCTAACTGTTGCACAGAAGTTACTTCAGCTCACACCAACAGTTAAAATTTTGATGATTTCATTGCGTCACTGTACCTAATAGACACTAGACAGAACCAAGAAACATCTCAGAAACAGCATATTCAGGTGGTCATAAGACACTGATGTCTCAAACTTGTAACCCGTACGACAGTACATGGAGCAACAATTACTTGACATAATAAATTTTCAGAAATCATAGTCATTTTCTGTGTTTTAAATCATCACTGCAGACAGAACGAACATCACATTCAATTCACATGGCAGCTATTCACAGACCTGAATTACAGGAATTAATCAGCTTCAGCTTCACAGTTATTCTTCACGATTACTTGACATAATAAATTTTCAGAAATCATTGTCATTTTCCGTGTTTTAAATCATCACTGCAGACAGAACATCACATTCAATTCACATGGCAGCTATTCACAGACCTGAATTACAGGAATTAATCAGCTTCAGCTTCACAGTTATTCTTCATCGATCTTCATATAAATGCTCATTATTACGCTGGAATTCCCTCTAGTTAAAAAATCAGATTTCATTGTATTCAATGAAGAAATAGGATTTTATTAAATCCATCTTCTGTTTGAACAACTAACTCGTCACAGTGACTACAAAGCATTAATATAATACTAATCCAGTTTTGGTTTAGACAATATCTTTAAACTCATCTGGATGTTTTTTTCCCCTCCTTTTCCTTGTTCTTTGTTCTTCTTCTTCTTCCCCCATGTGTTTCCATCTCCTGTGTTTCCATCTGATGAACAGTATCTTTCTTTTTTTCGTCAAACCGATAAAATTGTTATGTCGAGAAACGGAAAATTTTCGGTTAGTTCCATTTCTCGGTTAAAACAACTGGAAGAGTAAGCTAGTTGACCCATCACCAAATGTTCGAAGTTCTGCAGGCTTTACCAGTGCCCGACAAAGAGGGCAAGTTCTTTCTCTTTCAAACCTGAAAACAAGAACTCCAACCAGTGAACGGAAGTGCAATGGCATTTGTAACAGCTGAAATTAATTCCTAAACAGAGCACTAGGTTAGACACTTAAGGATCAAAATTTTCAGTCAGAAAAATTATGCTATTAAGAATCAAGATTTTGGGGGTTTGTCTTTTTTCTCCATCTCTTTTTTTTTTCTTTCCTTTTTGGTGGGAACCGCGGCACGGTCTCACAGTCAAGCGACCATCATCGACACACTAGTCAGCTAAGGCCAATCCCCTAACGCTAATAATAAGAACGATCTAATAATATTGTAATCGCTCTAATATTAATGACCACATCGTCATTTAGTCCTAAGAGTTACCATGATAAGATAACATGAGAATGGAATGGTAATGTTTTTTTTTAAAACAAGATACGAACTTTTCATTGATTAATGAAAAGGAACAAAACTGTTCAAAAATACAAATTCAGACAGGAGTGAGCAAAAATAAAAGAGATAAAATAGAATCCTCTCAAAGTAAAGAGATAAAATAGAATCCTATTAATGACCTTTAGTCGTAAGAATTACCATAATAAGATATACATGAGAACGGAATGGTAATGTCCAAGTATAGCAGGTGTTTTTGGATATGCAGAACACTCGAAAAATAACTTTCTATGAATATGATATGAATGAAGATATTAAGAGGGAAGTAGAAGGCCTTGTATTAAAGATTTTAAAAATAAACTGAACTCCTTCCCTCGATCCCTGGTAATACCATTATCAGGCGTTTCATTGTTTGTATTATTTTTAGATAAGTGAGAAGTCTGCAATCGTTCCTAGAAACAAAATCTTTAACAAGATTTTGACTGAGAAGTTAGTGCCTTATATTTTTTTAAGGTTTACAATTAGAAGTATCTAAAAAATCTTGAATGTCAACAAGTTGGCTTGTAAATCTCTTTTAAATGGCAGTCAAATTTCTAAATTCTCCAGAATCTTCCATAGATGGAGTGTGATACATTTCTCACCTTAGGAGGGATACTTAAAATTAAAATCTTTAAGAATGATTATTATAACCCCAAACCTCCAAATCCATTAAAAAACCAACTCTGCAAGTTGCCATCCTATAAACTAGAAAACCTAGTCTTGTTCTATTTGTTCATTGCCCTGCATGACCACTCCACCAGTTGACTTCAGTAAAGAGTGCAGAACAAATTCAAAATCTTGCAGAGAGAAAATACATAAAGCAAAAACTAGCAATTAAAAGCATATATTATTATTTGAAGTTTAGAAAAACTGTATGGTGAAAAGAAATGCAAGTAGCTAAATTATATAATTACTATTTCTTATGCATTAAATTTTCATGAACCAATGGAGTGTTGAAATTGTTTTCAAGGCAAAGATTGCAGCTTGCAGTGTAAGCAGTTTCGTTTCAACATCAAACTTCGGACTTTTCTTTCTTTCTTTCTATTATCAGGAAACAAAAAAATTTTCATTGACATCTAACTTTTAACTTTTCAAAGTATAATTTCTTGTAGCCCAAGAATGAGGGAAATATTGACCTTAATTAAGAATTTTGACTCAAGTGTCGCTGCCTACTGGTTATATTGAAAGAAAGAAGTTTCTCACGTAGGATTAGTCAAAGACACCCACAATCATCCCCAACAAAAAAAAAAAAAGTTATAACATTATCTTTGAATCTTTACCTATTTTATCTGTTGAATTTGATTATATGCATGCATGCTGGTGACAGTTTTGGGTTTATAATTGATATTATTAATGAAGTAGGAATCTCACTCCCGTTTATCCTTCTCAATCCCAGTACCCCTCCAATTTATTGCTGTCCTATACCCCCACTTTTCTCTCTTCACCCTCAATTGCCTCGTTTGCTCTAAAACAGCTTCATTCTTCACACTCTTATACTACTGCCACCATACAAGTCGAAACACGACAAGAGGCATAATATTGCTCCAGTTTTTCTCCAAGCTAATTGCAAGATTTCTGGCTCATTAAGAAGTTGATAATTACTACAGTGCCTAAAAGTTCAAATTAGAATGCCGTCTCCATGCTATAATCTATCATCGGTCCCACAGAGGTCTGATATGAATGGTAAAGCATCAGCAATATACAGAAAACACAAGAAAAATGGAGTTGTCATACTGACCATTCAGAAACACAATCTTCACAGAAGATGTGCTTGCAACGTAACAGGATTGGAGCATTCATCTTCTCCTGGCAAATAGCACAGAGATCTCCCGCAGCATTTACCTGCAATGGAGTAAAATAAAGCATATGAAACTTAATGCAATAGAATTAATGTATGAAGTTTCTATTCTTTTATCATCAAATGCAACATAAATAATTTATCAGGATGGAGACGTGACATTTTATCAATCACATGTACATAGCAATACTAAAGTCGACAACTTTTCCTGGTTCAATGATAGGGACACTGCAGGAAATTGCTTAGTGCCAAATCATGAAAATGATTTTGCTTATCACTTGATGCATCAGAAAAATGGGGAAGAAAATACCAAAATCAAAAGAGAAATTTTTACTTGTACCCCTAAAACTTTCATCAGAAAGGCAATTCTTTTAAGATTAAAAAAAACTAAAATTCCATCAACAAATAAATTCCAAAAAATGAGAAAGATACTCAACCAAATGAAGGTCAAAAGATATTTTAAAAATAGCCACTCCAATAGCAAGAATCATAAAGTTAAAGTAACAAAGAGGAGGCTAAACAATTACATGATAGAATGACCAGCATGAGTTCTATAGGTACTGAAAACTACATTTAATTCTTTACATGCATGATCAAGTAAATGACACCCTGCCACCCTGGTTGTATTCAGTTCTATTAATCCATCCTAACATAGTAATTTGGCTTAGCACGACTAGTAAAACATCCCAGAATAAGTAATTAACAGTATATATCAATGTGCTACTTCCTTGCCCTAGTAAAACTAGGAATAGGAATGCATAAAACCCAATTAATACTCTGTTTACAAATGTTGCATGGTAAGTTGAATTGACAAAATTGGCTCTAAAGATGGCGTATACTTGTCATATAGTTATATGTGAAAAGTAACCATGTAACTTCAAAAGGCACAAAGTTAATGTCCCGTCTACAATGAAAGATAGGGTGACATTGGTGTAATTTATCTAAAAGAAAATCTAGGTCATTTCTCCCACCACATCCAGTAGGTTAATCATACCATCACAAATTCTTTAGAAAGCAACAAATGAATCCACGTAACAAGAATTACAAGGCAGTATGACTTCTAACATTAGGGAACAAGAAGCATTAAAGGAGACATTCAATAATTCCAAAGTCCTTGTGTCGTTTTGTTATTTTGGGGATAATTATTTGGAATGAGAAAACAGTTGTTTAAAAGTAAGGAAAGACAAAGCTCTTTCAAAATAGATGCCAAATGAGACTACAACAGACAGAATAAGTGTACTTGCCTGTTCTGATGTGGCATATGATCCATAATGAACTTCTTTCCGTGACAGGGCCTTAAATGCAGCAACGAATGATTGAATCTAAAGATAAAATAAGGAAAAAATATAATGTGGTTTCCAAGAATTATGACATAAAACTAAATCTTTAAATGCTGATCCGTGATTATAAATATTCATGTTTGAAAAGCATACCTTCTCAACAATAGACGTTAGCTTGAAAGTTAAATATAATCCTGTTGTCAGCGATGAAAAGAGGCTTCCTTGATCTTTGTTCAAGAAGAACCGGTACCATACAGGTGTTGGTAATAATGCACGGTACAACAGAAGAGTGTATTCCACGAGAGTTAAAATTTGACCCTAAAACATGAATTATAAACAGTCAAAGAACTAAAACAAAGTAACTGTCAGATATTTCAATGATAATATCATATAACTAAGCTAATTTCGAGATGTCATAAAACCTGTCGACGAAAATTATGGCCTCTGCCATTCTTGTAGTAAATAAGCAGAAAACACTTGAGAGCCATTGCAACCTGCCTCGCCATTGTATCTGACAGCACAAGCCCAAAGTCAATGCCAAATGAGTAATAAGTATAATAAAATTGATCACAGAAAATTGTGAGAGAAATACAACAGAAAAGTCAGAATAAGAGGAAGGTGTAACCATCTATAAAAGCAAAAGAAAATTAACCTATCATTTTTTTATTTTTTGCCAATTATCCTGGTTCCTACCTTAAAAGCTATGGTCGCAAGATGCAAATAAACAGCATAAAGATAATAAACCATCTTAGGTCCTTGTTAAATTGCCACTCAGACTAACTAATTAGAAATTATAGACTCAGCACTGTGATACTTACAGCCAGACTAGGACACATAATAGGTGGACGATGATTTTTACATACATCTTCTGGAACTCCGTTCCATATGTTAATTCAATCACTATATCTACTGCAACTATATAGGCTAGAGCACGGAAAAATCTGTACCGTTAACCAAAATGATGAACAAGGCATGCCAAAAAGGTGGTACTGTCTTTGGTGGAAGCATGACCAGTGGGTACAGAAGATCGTCAGTATGAGACCACCAGTAAATTCCAATTACATGAACCAAAAATGCGATAGAAGTACCAGCAAGGACAGAAATTTTCCTCTCTCCCTAAAACACAGAATAAATTCTTCAGTATATATTTCTCGCAAGTGTATTCCCACTGAAGTTGAAAAAGAAATGAAGTTCTAAAAATAAGACAAAGTCTGGGTTTAGCTTTACACCACCTTTAGAGCAGTCTGTTTCTTGACAATATCGTTTGACTTATACATAACAGCTGATATCCAAATTGTGATGAAAAAACCTGTAAATATCAAAGAAATAATTTATTACCAATCAGACAAATGTTACAGCAAGAGAGTAAAAGGAAGAAGACAATTAAATAATAAATAAAACGACCACTACTTGTCCTCTTAATAACACCCAACAGTGGAGTACTGTAACTCCCCTTGGTAAGGTTATGGAGGAGGAGGATAATTAATGTATACGTCGACTACCAAACAAACGTGTCCGTCCCAAGTTCTATGGCAAAGCAAAGTGACATCTCCAACCATTTTTTTTTATGAACAACTTTCCCACTCCCGTGAGCTGCCCTTCAACCCATGTGCTAGTTTTAGAAGCCAATTTGTATGTTATCAACCATATGTTAATCCAGTTATTTTTCTCCATCAAAATTAAATTCTATAAATTTGATAGTTCTAAAGTTGAGAAACTTCGATCTTTAAATTCTTGGCTGATTTTATCACTACATATTACAGCAACGATCACTTGCAAGAACCCTACACAATATACTACAGTAGCTTTTACTTTAAAAATAAAAAATAAAAAATAAAATAAAGAGAGACAGAGTCAGAGTCAGAGAAAAGTTGTATTCAAAAAGAACAACAGACAGCCTATGGTTCGGGTGGAGATCGCCCCCTCCCAGAAAACTACAATAACACCTTCCAATCATACATAATCATGAGGAGGCTATAACTACACAAGAATTCTTTGCATTTTAAACACCACCCAGTGCAATTTCAGTACTAAAATCGGGAAAAACACATCAAGTGAAATTTTCCACACCATTATTCCACCAATGACCAAACCCTATTCACTACAACAAGCTATAAGTTAGTTAAAAAGCATAGGGACTAACGGGACTGAAAATCTAATAGATCCAACGGAAGTCCTGAGTATACAATGGCCAGCATTCTCACTAAAGTCTAACGAGGACTAGTAACCAAACTATCAAGTTGGTTTTGTAAATATTCTATTCCAACAGCAAATAACACTAGTATGAAATTTGACATCGAAAATCTAAAATCTGTCAAAGCAGTGGCAAGTGTTAAAAGTAGTGAAATTCGAAACTATTATTGGTCTAACAAGAAAAAGACGAAAGAAAGCACCTTCTAAATGCTGACGGATAAAGACTATCAGCAGTAGCAAAGAGAATGGAAGAATCTGTTCAATCCATCTGGCAACCTGTTGAATATCGTATCTCTGATAAGACGAGTCTCTATTGACACTCTCCTCCACGCCATTTCCAGATTCTCCGTCGACGCGACTGCTTCCAGATTGAATAGATGAAGAAGCGGTGGGCACCAAGGGAACACGTTCCTCATCAGGGGATTCCGGCTGATCCCCGGAAACAGAACGTCCGCTATTTTGTTCATAACCAGCCTGTCCCACCAGAGCCTGAGATGGCAGCAAGCCACTAGAAGAAGGATCTTGCTCGCCAGACCCAATAATCCTGATCGAGACCTCCCCAGAGGGGCTGGAATTACCGGATGAGGTGGTGGCAGTAGAAGAAGAAGAAGAAGAAGAAGAAGGAGTGATCAAGTGATTATGATTCTGAGAAAAAACTCGCAAATCAGGCGTCGCAGCGCCGTTGACGGGGACAGGCTCGGATTCGTGACGAACAGCCCTGGTGGGCAGAATCCCGGAGTAATCCAAGATGACGGACAAAGGCGAACGGAAGAAATTCATCGAAGGGAGAGACAACCCAAATCTGGAGGAGCTACGAGCAGTAGTGGGTGACGAAGAATTGGAGAAAGGATCAGAATTGGAAGCCGAGGTCTCCATGATTTCGACCAAAAGCCCTAATCTTCGACCTCCCCCTCTGGCACAACCTTTACCAAATTCGGCCCCCTCGAAATCCCACCACCAGAACAACAAAAATTGGAATATTGAATGATGGGCAACGAAGAATGGGGCCTGAGAAGCCGGAAATGGCGGTGAAAACGTCAGAATCCGGCGGAGGGAGAGGGTTGGGAGGGTCGCCGATGGGATTTGGGGAAGAGAAAAAAGGGAAAATGGGGTCAGGAAAAGAGAAATGGAGGAATGGAGGAATGGAAAATGGAGATATAGAGAGAAGCAAAGGGGCAAAGGGAGTGCGCGTGGAAGGAAGGCGATTCGAAAAAGCACCAAAGAAAATACGACTAATTCAGCTCAAAGCCTCAGCCTCCGCCTCAGCAAGAGTCGGTGACACATATGTAGGAACCAGACCGTTGAAGTGTTGGTCAACACAAACATATAAAAATCAAATAAACATCAAAACTTTGCCTTTCTTTCTAAAATGCACTTTCCATGGAGTGGATCACAGCTTTTGGTCAGAGATATATTTTAATTATTGTTAAACTATGCTAACTTTAACCAAAAATATACTTATTTAGTTGTCTAACAAACAAAACAATATATATATATGCATACTTATTTAAATGTCAACAAAAAAAAGAATATATATATATATACTATTTTCTTCGCAAGCTGACCTTTCATATTTCAAAAATATGTTTGAGCAAAAAATTAACGTGTCAAGATCTAGAACGATGTAAAAGTTAACATAGAAGTTTGTCTAGAATAACTGGCACTACAAAATAAAATTAACCTTTAACGTGGTCGATTGTAGGTCTGTCGTCAAAGGTCAAATTTGTGGTATTTCTAAAACGTTTAAAAAATGTCAAGGGTAGTATTAAAACTTTTGAAACGTAAGGGGTATTTTTGTAATTTAGTTTAAAATAAAATAAATAAAATACTTACGGGTCGATGGTCCACACTTATGTTATTGCTGACAACTATTAAAAATCAGACGATTCTTCATTTTTAAAAGAATAGAAAAAATTATCTCCTTTTATGTACTTCTCTATCCTACTTGTCAAAACTTTAATAGTGGCCACTAAAGGATGAGAGATGATTGGTCAGTATCTAAGTTTTGTTCTAAAATACAATAATGAAAAAATGAAAAATGTGTTTACATTAAATGTTAAATATATATTTTAGTTCCGTGCTTTTTCAATTTAGTCCCTATTGTTTAAAAAGTTTCAATTTATTTCATTATATTTTAACATTTTCCAATTTAGTCTTTTACATACAGTGAATGTTGAAATTATGATAAATCTAAACAACATATTAGTTAGTTCATTGGAAAAAAAAATAGAGGGAAAAAAGTTATCAAGAGAATAAAACTAGAAATTTCTACCAATTTCTTCTAAGAATCGGAAACTTTCCTTTCTTAGATGATATTTTTCCTCCCGTAAAATTTCGTCAATTGACTAAGTACGGTCTCATTAAATTTATCATCAACCAATTTAACATTTACCAACGGTGAAAAGCTAAATCAAAAGATGTTAAAACATAAGAAACCAAATTGAAACTTTTAAAACAATCGGGATTAAATTGAGAAAAACACAGCATTAGGTACTAAAACATATATTTATCCTATATTAAAGTTAGCCCTTGGACTTTTATGGTCTATTTACATCTTCGTACTTCTAAAAATTTATAACAATTCTCTAGATTTTGATGTTAGGTCCATTTAGTCCATGTACTTTAAAATGTTTCCGATAAATCTTTAAACCTTCAATTATGTAGGTTTATTTAAGTTTTGTATGGCAACTTTGACGTCAGGTAGGTTACATTCAAGTAGGCAGGTCAGCTTTAAGTATATAATTGGCAAACAAAAGAATCACACGAGTTTAATATTTTCATAAAAGTAAATGGCAGAGACTCATTAGACAAAAAAATTGAACAATTAAAGATCTATTATAAACTTTTTAAAGTTAATTAGTATTAATCTAAAAGGTGTATTAGAAAAATTTGCCACCTCTTCTAACGCATGTTATTCATATACACTCTCAAAAAGCCATATTGTTTATTAAAAAATTAAAGGCCAAAACAAAAATTATTATTTTAAAAAAAGTTCTCAGTCGTTTTAAAAATTTAGAGACGAAACTGAAATAAATTTTAAAATTTTAAAATCTAGAAATTCAAATTGAAGGAGTAGAAAATATACGTCAAAATGAGTATAGCTCAACTGGTTATGATATGCCTCATAGGATCTAGGGTGCTGTCACACGTGTAATAAATTACTTTCGGCGACGAAATGGAGATTTGGTCGCCGAAACCCTGACTTTCGGCGAAATGTACTTTTCATCGCCGAATGTCAATCTAGAACCTTCGTCAAGGTTCTGGAACGTGCTTTTAGCGGTAGTCGCCGAAAGCTGTTACTTTCGGCGACCATATAAGATTTCGTCGCCAAAAGCCAGACCTTCGGCGACGAAAGTTCGTTTGGTCGCCGAAAGATACTTTCGAAGACTAAATTTTATTTGGTCGCCGAATCTCAGATTTCTTGTAGTGCACCCTCATCCACAACACAAATGGAAAAATAGGATGTCGGTGGTACCCATGGACTAAAGCACACATCCTACCTCCCTGTTGTTAGCTTTATGAGCTTCAATCACACTGAATGCTTTGATGATAACAAACTTTATTTACTAATGATTTTAGTGTTTCAAAGTATCTATTTCATAGAGCTCGGAAAGATGAATCCAACGCCTTTTGAATTACTCGAGTCGGAGTTCAAAAGAAGAAATTATGATCAAACAAGTCAAGTGGACCAATCTTACGTGGTAGGGGACGTGACATTTAATAGTCAAATTATGTAGTCGTGGCAATGATGTGGCAGTAACGTGGTAGCAACAATTTTGGTGACGTGGTGGATAATGTGGACTGATCATGTGATGACACGTGGCACTTTCAATTTCGACAAATCAAATTCCTACAATTCTCTCAATTCCACAATCTTCTCTCAATTTCACATAATTTCCCAATCTCCACCAATTTCTCCAAATCTCCATAATTCTATTCATTTTTTTCCTTATCTCTCTACCTTTAATCTCCATCATCCGTCATTTGTTGTCCTAAATCCAACGGTCAAATTTCATCTTTAAAACTCTATTTAAAGCCACCAAATTTCATCATTCTTCACACACCAATTATCAAAGCAAACATATTTCTACCTTCAAGTTATCATAGCTTTTTTAGGTATTGCTTTAGTACGGAATTTATAAATCTACCTTAGTGAGGTATTTTATTTGTATTGTTTATTTCATATTTTGGGTTTTGTATTAAGTTGTGGGTATACCTTGGATTGTGAGAAAACACAATTGGTTGGATCCTGAACCAGTAAAAAGGATTGGGGGTTTCTCTTTAGCCTAGGACAAAAAAAGAGGGTCGATCGGTTTGGTTCTCATCCATAACAGAGCAGGTGCAATAAAATACCCAAGGAGTCTTGGGGAGTGGAGTAGGAATTTTCGAACCACTATAAAAATTCTCGGTGTCATCTATTTCTCTACTCTTTAATTTTTTCATTTAAATTCTATTTGAATTTTTGTTATTCTTCAACTTTTATTTTTAAAATCTACAAGTTTGTAAGCAACCCTATTCGGAGTGTTATCATAGAGATCCTACACATGTGTCCACCTCACACATACTAAGTCACTCTCTCTCTCCATATATAAGGAAAAAGAGCTACCCTCAACTTCTTGTGAGCATTCTACACATATTCTCAAGGAGACTCTCACCCTCGACATTACTGTTCTCCTACCCCATTTGCTTCATACCTGTTTGCTTCCAACTTAAGTTTTAATTGAAGCATCTGAGTGCATTCGACAGAGCATCACATTGGTACTAGATTTATGTGTGCATAACCTAGACCTTGAAGATGAAGGTGTTCGTAGCACCTACGTGACACTAACACAACACTTGTCCAGAAACCGGCATCAACAATAACTATTTATTGTTTCGCATTCTCTAAAATTTCAAATTAAAAAATTAAATCTTCTAAAGTGAAATCAAATTTTCTGTACTAAATATTCAAATTTTTGTGTTATATATATATATTTTTAATATTTATTATTAAGTAAAAAATGATGCTTTTATTTTTATTTTTTTTAGTAGGGGAGTAGTAAGGATTTTTTAGAGGTACAAACAAAGACGACGGTTTTAATCTCAAACATTGAAACTCCAACCTTGAGATGAGGGAGTTGGCAATAATGCCTTTTTTTTAATGGACACAGAAATAAGAAACTTGATTATGTTATTTCTCACATCTTACACAATTTTGAAAATATTTCTTTACGAAAAAAACAAAACAATTCTCACATTTTACACAATTTTAAAAATATCTCTTAAAAATGAGTACGAGAAACAGAGCAATTCTAACAAAAACGTATCTTCAAGAACTAAAATAAAATTCTATTATTTGCCTTCCCTAACAGACCATTGTTTTTTCAAATACTCTCTTCATTAGCACGCGTTTTAACCCTTTAATCATGGAAAAGTCACACCTCTCAACATGCTTCTCCTTAACTCCAACTTTCCTTTTCCAATCTTTTATTGTTTCACTTACATTATATTTTCCCTAGCTTTGTTGATTTATTCTTTTTTGTCCTTTACTTTTTTTTTAGTCTCTTTGGTAAACTTTCAAAATGTCTATTATATTCACTATATTTTAAAAGTTTTTATTTTTTAATCATTGATATTAATCTGCCTACAAGGTTTAATAATGAAATGAGATAAACTTTAAAGTTTAGTCACTAAAGTATTTTTAAAATGATCCAAACGGAATAATTTTGAAAGTTTAAAGACTAGAATCTAAACCTTATTATTTTTGCATTTCTTATACAATTTAAAATATTTTTATATTTTAATTATAATTTTTATTTTCACACCTATGTCAACTTCCATTTTTTTAATGAACTTTTTTTTTCTTTTTATGAACCGTTAGGTATTATGAGAAGCAGACATTCATTTACTTGAAGATGAAGAAAGTAATCTTGATGCAGGTGAACTTTCATTTACTTGAAGATACACTTTAATGAAGACTCTTTACAAATATATTTTTTATTTTTTCTAAATAATCTAAAATCGATGTCGTATAGCTTACACTAGCCACCCACTACTATAAAATGTTACAGGACTTGCCCCGAGGGGAGAACCCGACTACATGCCCCACTACACCACCGCCTACCAGCGGTGACTCTTTACCAGTAATTCAAAATTACAATAGAGTCAAAAGTTTATTTTACCTTTCTAAGTACATTTTACTCTTTAATTATGTTTATGATCCAATCACGAACAAAAATCTCTTTTTCAGAGAGTGAAGCTCTACTATTTAGGTCTCGAGACTTGAAAAATAGCACAAAAATCATCTCGTAATAATATGTCCCTAATAATATGTTCCTAACTCTTCCCATTGAGACCAAAAAAAAAATTAAAGACTAAAATTTGAAAGGTTAAAACAAAACCTCCTAAAATTTAAGGATCAAAATAACCTTTTTTTTTCTATCAAATTAATAATAATTAGAAATTAAAGAGATGATACGCTAGACTCTCAAGTTCCAATGGCATCACTAGGAGCTTAAAGGATTTCTTTTTTCCGTCCAAGCTCATTCAAGCAACCTAGTTACCTCCTCACTGATTCTAGGGGTGAAGCTACTTTACCAAGTTGACGAGAAAATAGAGTGAAGTCACTTTACCGAATTTACGAGGGGAAGGAGTAATAACTTCCAGAAAGAGCGTGATGCAAGTATCCCGTCCATATAGGCTATCATTCCATAACAATACTCAACATCAAAAAAGATCCCATGAAGCCAACCTAATCCAAGCTCAACTGATTGAGGTATGTATCTCCGACTAAGAAATCGTGAATTTGAATCCCAACCCCACATGTTGTACTAAAAAGAAAAAAGAAAGCTCGTGCCACTCGCAAACTTTTTGATCAATTAGGTGCACGAAGGTTGGACTCATGATGTAGGGGTGGGGATTTGAACTTCCGACTTCTTGGTCGATGATACATACTTCTGTAACATGCACAAAACTCCAACACCATATATAAGAGTGAAACATGTTAATTACCACTTGAAGGAAATGAAAGGTGCATTCTGTACAACACAGTCCTATTCTCAGCCATACATAAGCTTCATTGTTAGGAGATTGTGTCCCCAACCAAGACATAGAACACAATGTTATTAAGCATTATTATTAAGAAGTATTGTACCTGTGTACAAGAGATTGGTTGCCGGGCAACTTAGCCTTTCCAGTTGTCCTTTAGCCGCCTGATTTCTTTAATAGCTTCTACTGGAGACTGGGTACCAACCCTCTCCTGTAACAGTAAAACCACCAAATTATGCCCAGACCTATTTGTATGGTGCAAAAAAGATCCCTAAGATAGGATGCAAAATATATCTCTTTCTATCTTCGACTACAAATTTTCATTTATTTTTTTCCCATTTTTCTTGATATCTAGGAGTATCCGGCCCAAGAAGCACAGACACGTGTCTTTTTCTTTTTTTATTTTGGACATGTGGTTGACCCATCATAGACACGTGGTGGACAAGCCCCAAACACGCCAGATGAAATTTGCTTAAAATTTAAAGGAAAATTATAAGCCCAGTTAAAAGAAACTAAATGAAAAACAAAAGCCTCGCCAGATAGCCCATTAAGCACTTGAAAACTCTCTAAAAAAGACGATTAAAAAGTTTTATATATATATAAAAACCTGACTGACTTCTTCTATTTGTTATGTTGAATTTGTATGGTTAGTTTATTTAGAAGTACTACTACTACGTCAATATATATATATATGTTATCTAAAAAGAAAAATTTGAAAAGTGTGTCCCTGATGTATCTGTATCCTACGTTTTTAGAAATTGGCAGGTCGTCAGGTCGTATCTTGTCTGTGTCTTGTGTCCGTGCTTAATACCTAGCTAACCTGCACGATCATTTACTATGTTTGGTTGCCAAAAAAAAAAAACAAGTAAGTTTTAACATCCTAGGTGGGACTTCTAAGTATTATTAGGTGGGACTTAGTACTATTACTTTTTCACTAATCCCAGTGACTACTAGGCCAATCCAGAATCCAGGGTAGTCAATTCGAGATTTCTCTATAAAGAATAGAAATTGGAGTTTCAATAAGGAAAAGGAGATGGTTTCAAAGAACAGATTGTTCCTGGTCATAGCCCAGAAAAAAAAAAGGCCATCTCTGGATTTTCTGAATCAGATGTGGGTGAGATAAAGTTAAAGAGTCCTGAATTCATTTCTTTTCTGCAGAACTTGGACAGTATCTGAAGAAATTTCTTTGTGCAAGGAAATGCTAATCGCAACCCACTGGACCAATTAACCCAATCATTGTCAATCAACCTCAGAGTAAGACACAGAGAGAAAAAGAAATGACTATAACACTCATAAACTTATTTTGTGAAAGCTTTAGAACTTTTAGGAATAAGAGTACCTGAAGTTGTTTTAGATCAACTCGCATGAATGGATTTGTCTCCGTTTCTTCTTCAATACTTGAGGGAACAGTGGCACGTCCCGCTTGCCGCTGGCCCTGAGCCCACAACAACTTTTCTTTTATCTTCTCATTGTCAGGTTCAATTGTCAGAGCAAACTGCAAGTTTTTCACCGTGTACTGGATAAAGAGAGAACTATTAGTTTAGTTACCTCAGAACAACTGAACAAGAACCAACAACAAAAAATTCAGAAATTTAAATTTTACAAGAAAGACATGACAAATGTAATTTTAAATGGAAAAACCAGTTTGAAGGATCAAAATGGGCAGAATGATATATTATATCTTTAGAACATAAGAAGATACAATCGGTATGAAGGAATGCTTCTTCCAACCAAGAAATCAGTACAACAAATATCACTTTTAATAGCATTGTATAAAAACTGCTATATAGAAGACCCAGAAAGACAAAAGCAAAAATGCACTAAAGTTTCCAGGCGTGCACACACTCCAAAGCTGATAAGGGTTATACTATACTTATTTGTGGCAAAATTGTTAAGCCCTTCTCCCCCCTCAGCAAACCGATCTAATCTTCTCCCTGATCCCCGTATTAAAGTCCATGAAAGAAAATGCACCCATGAAAGAACCCTGAAAAGAGTAATAAAATGGATAAGAGTCAGATGATAAATTACCTCGTGCCCACAGTACACTCGTGTTTGCTTTGGCAATGAACCCAATGTGACGCATAGAGATTGATACATCTGGTCTGCTGTTCCCTCAAAAAATTTACCACATCCAGCAATGAACTACACACAGAGAAACCATAGTTAATATGTGATATATTATTTAGTAAGAAATGACAGCATGAGAATCATATACTGGAAGAAAATAAAAGAACTGTATACTGACTAGCTAGATTGTTCTGACAGAAGAGTAAATGCTACTGGATACATGATACTCAGACCAGAAACAATTTTTGTTTGTAAGAAACAACTTTCCAATAAAGAGAAAAGAAAGGTACAAATCTAGGAAGCACAGACAAGCTAAAAATGGGAAAGTGTTAGTGTCGGACACCGGCATGCTCGAGCACGCATCCGACACGCTATTAGAGTGTCCTTTTTTTTATCGGACACACGTGATATTAAGGGTTTCAGTTGCTTTTTAATTATTATCAATGCCTATCAGAGAACACTTTTGTGATATCCGGCTTTTGTAGTTAGAAGGATGTCGTCTAATATTTCCTAACAACTTCTTTATATAAAACATTTTTTATTTAAGAACGGAAAAGTGAAAAATATTGTCCTGAATTAATCATATCCCATCACAAGCATCAAAAAGTACAAGAGATTGACAAACAAACCATTAATGCTCTTCAAATAAACTTACCAGTGTATCACCAGTGAAGACAGCTGGATCCTCACCCTCTTTGCTAGTGACATAATAACTTATATGTCCTTTAGTGTGACTGATGAAAGAAAGCCGAAGAAAATCAAGAGTAATTGTTGGATGGAAAATAACAGTTTTTTTTTTTTGGAATAAGAGACAATATATGCATTGAATCACCCAAAGGAAGAACAACCTAAGGGCACCTCCCCCAACAGAACTAGAGATGAAGTAAATGAAAATAACTAGAGAACTAGAGAAAATAACAGTTAATAGAGATAAATAAATGGTATTCTTCCCAATTCCCCACCCAAAAATAAATGAAAATGTGTTAAAGAAACAATCTCCTTCATATAATACTAATCATATATAGGTAGTTTTCCATTATTCACGGATCATGAGTTCAATTCTGACAGAGGAAAAAATTTGATTCTATTTATATCCTGCAAAGAGCTTGCAAGTTCTAATTACCTGTTGGAATGTCTAAAATATAGAGCAGCTCAAGAAGCCCAACAGAGAATGAGAAAAGCGCAAAAAACAAGACCAGGCACAAGAGAGCTCAAAAATCTATCTTCCTCTATCAACTACGAGAAAAGGAAGCTTCTACAGGGGGGGACCATCCACTGTTAGATGAAGGTTCTCTCATGGAATGTGAGAGGGTTGGGCTCATGGAAGAAGAGAGCCCTCATTAAGCAATCTATCTCCCGTATCAATCCAAATGTGGTTCTCATACAAGAGACTAAGCAGCCAGCATCGATAACATCATCATAAAATCTCTTTGGAGTTCTCATGGGATCAATTGGGCTGCCATTAATGCCATTGGATCGGCCGGAGGGATTCTTGTCTTATGGAACGACCCCGACTTCTTGGCCAAAGAAATCATAGAAGGTCTTTTCTCCCTCTCTATAAACTTTTGTTTAGCTTATGGCTACTCTTTTTGGATCATAGGAGTTTACAGTCCCTCCACAACAAAACACCGAAATCACTATTGGAAAGAGCTCAGGGATCTCTCCTTTCTCTGCACCGACCATTGGATTTTGGCCGGTGTTTTCAATGTCTCTCGCTGGTCTTGGGAAAAATCTCACGGTAGACCTCTCACCAAAAGTATGAGATTATTCAACACCTTCATTGAGGAAGCTGGCCTGATTGATATCCCACTGAACAATGGAAATTATACTTGGTCACAAAACAGCTCCTTCTCCCTCATAGACCGCTTTCTCCTATCAAATGGATGCATTGATAAGTTCGGGTTGCCCATTGCTAAAAGGCAGGTCAGAACGACTTAGACCACTTTCCCATTCTCCTGAATTTTGATCAAAATAATTGGGGACCAACACCTTTCAGATTTGAAAATATGTGGCTCACACGTTCTTCTTTCAAACCTTTCCTGGAATCTTGGTGGAAAAACAATCCTATTCAAGGATGGCCTGGCCATAGACTGATGATGAAACTCCAAGCACTGAAAAAAGAGCTTCAAGCTTGGAAAACAGAGCATTTCGGATGCATACATACACAGAAGAAAGTCTCATTCAAAAGATAAGCTTGCTGGATGTATTGGAGGGAACGCAACCCTCATTCAAAAGATAAGCTTGCTGGATGTATTGGAGGGAACGCAACCCCTCTCCACAGACCAAGCTATAGAGAGGATTACCATTAAAGATGAAATCCTATCCCTGGCAGCAAAGGAGGAGATCTACTGGCGACAGAGATGCAAGCAAAATTGGCTTAAAGACGGTGATGAAAACACAAAGTTCTTTCATAGATTTCTTGCTAATAAGAAAAGAAGGAGCACCATCACAGAAATCTTCTCCAGGGAAGGAGAAAGCCTAACACAAATTAAAGATATTGAAGAGGAGTTTCTGAATTTCTATACACCCCTTTACTCCAGAAAAACAGCCACAGATGCTGCCCTAACAACCTCAAATGGGACCCCATCTCGCCGGAAAACAGATTGTTGCTTGAACAACCTTTCTCTGAAGAGGAAATTCACAAGGCGATCTCCTGCCTTGGAAACGATAAAGTCCCGGGGCCGGACGGTTTCACAGCAGAATTTTTTAAAAAATCATGGAACATTATCAAAGGAGATCTCATGGAAATGTTCCAAGATTTTTTTAAAAATGGAATCATCAATGCAGCATTAAATGAAACATACATTTGTCTCATCCCTAAGCGGCGAGATGCTAAGACAGTGCATGATTTCAGACCAATCAGTCTCATCCCTTGTGCCTACAAAATCCTAGCTCGTGTTCTATCTGAAAGGCTCAGTAAGGTCCTTCCTCTCACCATCACCCAACATCAATCTGCCTTTGTGGAAGGGAGACAGATTCTTGATTCTTCCCTCATTGCTAATGAAATCATTGATGAATGAAAGGCCCGAAAGGTGGAAGGTTTAGTGTTTCAACTAGACCTTGAGAAAGCTTTTGACATGGTTGATTGGGATTTCCTTGACATAGTATTGCACTACAAAGGTTTTGGAGAAACATGGAGGAAATGGATTCGAGCTTGCATCTCAACAACTAGTTTTTTCATTATCATCAATGGAAAACCGAGGGGGAAGATCAAAGCAACCAGAGGTTTGAGGCAAGGGGACCCATTATCTCCTTTCCTTTTCATCATGGTCACAGATGTCTTTAGCCGCCTACTTCTTCATGGAGAACAACAAAATCTGCTCACAGGTTATGTTTCAAATTGTGGATTGGTGAGAATTAACCACCTTCTATTTGCAGATGACACTCTCCTCTTCACAAAAAAGGACCCCAAAAACATTGAAAACCTCCACAGAGTGGTAAAGCTTTTTGAGGCAGCATCGGGGCTTAATATAAACTACAAAAAATCTAGTGTTTTTGGGATTTATTCTRAACAACTGACCATTGATCAGATTGCTATTGCTTGGGACTGCTCCTCAGGAACTTGGCCAAACACATATTTGGGTCTTCCATTGAATGGCAATCATAGAAAAGAGGCTTTCTGGCTATCGATTATTGAGAAGGTGCAAAATCGTCTGAACAAATAGGAGCAATCTTTCCATCTCAAAAGGGGGGAGACACACAATCCTACAGTCAGTACTCACCAATCTACCAACCTATTACC